AGATGACAAATACTATCAAGAGTACATAAAGTAATCATATGCATGGTTAGTTGGAAAATTAAATATTCAAAATTTATTAAAGTTTGGAAAAATCTTGCAATTCTTTGACGAAATGATTGACAAAGATATGATATCTTTGGATATAATTGAATACAATGAAGACGTCATTAGGGATGTGGAACAAGTCTGTATCTAATTAATCATCAATAGTGGAAACTCGACTCACACTTAATTATTGTTAAGTCTTGAGTTCAATGATAAAAGTACATTATTATAGTGATTGAAGTACTTAATGATAGATACATTCTAAGGGATAAAAGTACTTAGACCATAAGAACAAGTGTGGTAGGATGAGGTTTTTCTCTTAATAGACATATAACATATGCTTGCTGGAATGCATAACTATGGGTGCATTTATGATATAGTCTACATATATGAGAATAAAGTGGTGCCGCTTCATAGAATTCAAGGGCTTAACTCTTAAATTCTCATGAAAAGGATATGAGACATGAGGCCTTATTAAATGTGTCATATTAATAATTCGATCAATGGTACCGAGATTTCATGTATGAGTTATGCACGCTTGTTCTGATAAATAATTGATTCAAAGCTTGTCTACCAATCTATTAGGGGATGAGTAAAAACTTAACTTACTAAGTATTGATCCAAATCGTAACATATCTTTATCTGAAACTATAAAATTTTCTGAATAATTGATTTAGATATATTTTGAAAATGACGGGGGATTATTGGAGAAATTCCCAAAATATTAAATTGATAAATAATAATGGTTAAATTAACCAAAATAAATGGCCAAAAGTTGAAACTTTCTAGAATTGAACCAAAGACCTTATTGTTATAAGGCACGTGGTTAAGAGGTGCAACCACCAGATTAACGCACCTTTTCATGAAATTTTTTTTTGCTATTGGTATACATTGGTTCGCAAATGGTCATGTTGGAATCAAATGAAACATTGTTTCTGCACACCAATCGGTATAAGTTTTCTTATAAATAGAGATACTTGTCAGTCATAAAAGATATACAAAAATAAATATTTTCAGAGTAAAATATTATATCTAAGTCATTTATTTATTTTTCGAGTGCACGAGAATAAATGAGGAAACTTTATTCAGTGAAATATCATTAATCGACATGCTTAATGTGAATGTGTGATTCATGTTAAGGTTCCCAAAGTATCCTGAAGGGGATTCGTCGGTTAACCCTTTTGCATCCAATTTGCATAAATTGGTGGGAGAGAATCGAACCTAAAGCTTAGTGTAAACACACGCTTTGGAATTATTTGTGCAACTTTCATCGTACCGTCTTCATCGTCTTCTTCTTGTTCATGTTTTGCAGCAGACTCCCAACATAAGATCTAACAGACTCCACCCTAAATCACAATAATTAAACTATAATAAGAGAACATGATAAAATATGCTTAGAAATAATATCGAAAAGAAGTTGGTGTACCTGTTCGTTGTTGTGTTCCCTAAATTAGTAACTCTGTTAGTCCAAGCAGCCACAAACCTTTCGTTATAAGGTGTTAACCATGTTTCATTCATATACTTAACAAAAAAGGTATATCAACATAAACAGTTTCAATATACTTCAAGTGTACGAGATACTCAATGTCTCTATTAGCATACATAATGTTCTTCCATAGATCCATGACATGTTCATGTCTTTCTGATTTTACATACTCCTTACACTTCATGTTAACATTTTTGGTAATATGGAATGAACATAACAGGTGAGTTGAGTTTGGAAATAGAACTTGAATTGCATTCATCAGCGCAAGTTCTCGGCCTGTCACAACAATATTTGGTAGCAATTTCTCGGAAGAAAATAACTCTTTGAGCTTCTCAAGTTCCCATGTGAAGTTCTCCCCCCTTTCATGTTCCAAATAGGCAAACCCTACAGAAAATGTCAACTTTGTTGCGTTACGCCAACAATCTCAAGCAGTGGTAATCGGTAACTATATGTTCACGATTTAAATAATAAAAAATTTGATAAATTAAAGTATGTCAAAATGGTATCAAGGTATGATCAAGATGCACATACCTATTGGTCTTGTATGTATAATCAAAAATCAACACCAAGTGAAACATACTCAATAACTTCACTGAATCAGGATGTGTCCAGAAGATATCATTAACAACATTTGAGTCTTCCCTATTTCTTGTCCAGGACATGTACTTTTCTTTATGAATAAGAGTCAACAACATTTGCATGTCCTTCAATGAATGTCTCTTGCTCGCGTTGTACGTAGCTCTAGATTTATACACTTGGGTAACACTGGTGAGGTTTTTTGGATCTTTGTCTTTCAAGGCAAAAACTATGTACCGTTGAGCCATGTTGTACTTCGTCATTTCATTCACAAATTGTCTCTCATGATCTTTTAGACGATCCAATATGTCATGACCATCTAAATCATCAGATGGTTTATGATTGTGAAATCCATACCTAACCATCACCTTCCAACCAATACCACTTGGCGAAGATCTCAGCTTAAAAGGACATTTCATTTTCATACTATAAATGCCATTTGAAGATTTACTACTTTCATATGTATTTTTCCTTTTATAATTTCTCCTCTCTCACAACCCATAATCAACTTATCCTTCCTACCTCGCTGGCCATTTGCAGTATCAGAACGAATAATCACAACTATAATACTATGTTACTTGCCGATATGTTGTGCCCAGACTAACACTTCATCTCGGCTCTCAAATATATGTTGTTTACATTACATAAAAAATAGTATTAATATCATATAATGCAACGAAAATATTAAATTTTAACTTGTTACATAGAAAACATACTTTGTCTGTGGTGAAGAACTGCGTGCAATCGCTGCACGAATCCGTATATGACCCTACCAGTTCTGGATCGTACAAAGCAAGCATTTTTGAACTTCCAGTTCTTTTATCGGAAATTTTTATTGCAAGCTAAATTTCTGGTATATCGAAAATTTCCAAATTTTCGAAAGTTTTTACTTGGTATGGAAAATTTTAAAAAATTCCGATATTGGTGCCAAATTCCGAAAATTTTCACCTGAGATTTCTAAATTCCGATATAAAGTATCTAATTTTTACAAATTTCCAGTAATATATACCAGATTTTTAAAAATTTCTTGTATAAATACGAGAATTTTTAAAATTTCCGCAATGCTATCGAAAATTTCCAACAATTACCAGAAATTTTGAAATCTTAGATAGAAAAAACAAAAAATTTAAAACAATGATAAATTTTTTAGATAAATAATAACAAAAGTATTTTAAAATAGTGAAAATATGAAAGATCCAGATATGAAATGTGGGTTAACAAATTAAATTCTCATTCTCTTGTTTTTTTTTTTTTTTATTGTTTATATTAGTTTAACATTTTTTTTTTGTAGTGGAGTGGTGAAAATAAAAAGATTGAAAGTATCAATTGAAATTTGATATAGAAGAAACATGCTATTTATTGAAAGGAAAAGTGAAAGGATACAAAAATGGGTCATCATATTTTATGGAGTTTGGAGTTGGAGACTTAGTGATAATTTTTAAAGGACTGAGTTGTATTTGAGATGTTTATGCTTTTTAATTGGTTTCTCGCTTTCGATGAAGATATGTATCGAAGGGGAGGGAGAATATATAAGAAAGGAAGAACATTAAAATAAAAGAAATAATTATATTATTCTTTTAAAAATTTTAAATCATAATAATTTAAGTTCTTAAAATAATTATAATAATTTGTATTATAATTTAAATAAAACATAATTATAAATAAGGTGAAATTTCAATTATACCACCTAACCTCTTCCACCTCATTCATTTAATTGTCACATCATATAAAATGACACTCAAATATGTAGTGGGGGATTAAAATCCTAAAAAAAATTGAATATAAGAAACTAATAAATTGAATTTTAACATGATGGGTTTAAAAAAAATAGAAAACTAAATTGTAATTAAGTTAAAATATTTTCTCTCCCGTGTAAAAGGTGGAATTTGAAGTTTGGTCTCAGAACCATTTTTTTTTATCGGTTGATTTCTACAATCGAGGAAATAAGTTAATTTAGAAATTAAAAAAAAATTAAAAAAAACAACAATTAAAAAATAAATAAAAGTTAAAACTACAGAAACTTCAAAAATCAAAGTGTGATCCTTGAGCCACTAATTTTATCAGTTGTTTTCCACAACCGAGACAATAATTTAAAACGTTGTGCTCTAAGTGAATATACCTCAATTTTTTATTTGCTTGAAGTCAAATTTTTGTCATAAAATATACTTCATCCGCCTCAAAATAAATATCGCATTTTAATAAATTATTTATTTTAAAATAAGTATTACTTTTAATTTTTAATGTAATTTTTTATTTTTTTCTTTCAATTAATATTATCTATAATTTACTATTCTCTCATTTAACATTTATGATCATTAAATGATCATTAGAATTCATCAATACTTAACGAACATAATATGATAATAATAGTATTTTCTCTTTTATTTATCTTACTTTAATTTAGTGTGAGATACTCAAATGTGACACTTAATTGAAGATGCGGAAGAAGTATATATATATATATATATATATATATATATATATATATATATATATATATATATATATATATATATATATATATATATATATATATATATATATATATATATATATATATATTTATTTATTTATTTATTTATATATAAACATAACTAATATTCAAAGAGAAAACCTAAACTCCTTTATAAATGAAAATCACAAGTAAATTTGTACAACTTGAAAATAATATCTTGTAAATTCTTTTTTTCTATAATTTTGTAGAAAGAAAAACAAAATAAAATAAAATTAGATGAGACGACATACAATCGTCAGAAACATACATAATCAAAACAAATTCAACAACATTTTTCGTTACGCGATGTTTAACAACTTAATTATTCCACATACATATATTTGAAACACAATTTTGTAAGCTTATATAGCTATGACCCTTATAATTAGAACAAAACAATTAGTTTTTTCTTCTACAATTCTTCCTGATCTCCCCATTAGATCCAGTGAGAGGACTTATATCTCCCATTTTGATCATAGCAGCGGCAAAATCAGAGGAAAACGAGCTTGGACTAGAGCTATAGCCACTCACTATGGAGTTGGTAGATCCACCATTGAAAAGTTGTTGATCAGAATGGAGAAGACCTTTCTTCTGAACAAGGTTCTTGAAGTAGTTGTTATCGAAAGAAGTTGGAGTTTGAAGATCTAAGGGTGCCAAATTGTTGTCTCCTGATCCTGATGTCTTTGGGCAGTTCGATTGTCTCGTACTAGCAAATGAAGTATCTATGTTGGTCTCATTGTAGATTCTTGCCCTAAAGTTTGTGCACCTTGCTTGTCCAATTGTATGCGCACCTAAACAATAAATAAATGAAAATTATTTGTTGGTTTCTAATTCAGAAATTATAAATGTCTCATGCAATTAAAAAACTAGAAAAATTAATACACGTAACATGCAAATGTTCATGGATAATACAATTGTACCTGACAATGCGACTAAGTCTTTGGTTGAAAGGCCAAGAGCACTGAATCTTGATGTAAGTTGGTTGAGGCTGGAAGTAGGTGCTGGAATTCCTGTGTTAGCAGCAGATTGACTAGCTGTTTTTGCGTCTCTTCTTCCAAGTTTAACGTTCCATGTTGGGCCTCCAAGCTATGATTAAGAATAAAAACAATGCAACAATTGAGTGATTAAGTAAATTTACCTAAACATATTTAGTGTCAATAGATAGATTTTGATTGGTTAGTTAATTCATTGATTTATGGCTATACTTACAATTGCGACAGAGTCTGCAGCTGCGATGGCAAGAATATCAGCACAAGATACAACTCCGGGACATGCATTCTCTACAGCTGTTTTTATGTTATCAATAACTTCGAATCCACGAGCTGAGTTTCTATTAGGGTTAGCGTTTTTCTCCCCGGTAAAACTTGAAGTATCGTCCAATAGAATTGACCCATCACATCCCTACAATTGCAATAGAATTTATATAAATCATATTTTCTGCATTTTACAATTTTAAAAAAACAACAAAGTTGAAACAGATATACAATATTATAAATATGTAAGAAGACCTACATTGACAAAACAATCGTGGAAAAACAAACGGAGAATAGAAGCACCAATTCGAGTTTCCTTCGATATGGCAGATTGTACTGATGATTTTACCGTGGAAGATAATTTAGGACAAGAAGTTGAGTAAAAATTTGTAGAAAGTTGTGCATTGGCACTCCCAACTATGACGAGGACAAAGAGAGCCATACTCATGGTCTTGGTTAATCTAGAAATATTTAAAGGAGACATTGCTAGTTAGCTCTAGTGTTTATGTTTGTTTTTGAGAAGATGGGTGTGGTTTATCAATCTATAGAACTAGCTCCATATTTATAATGGTTCTTAGGAATGGCAACGGTTGTCTATGTCAAATTTGTAACACGTAGAATATAGACAAGTCAACTACGTATGCATGGAGAAATTAACTTGGCCATATATTATACAATCTTTCAAAAAAGTAATTAATTTATGATTATGACGGTTTAGAAAAATGAAGTTTCTATTCTAGGTGTGTGTGATTTGATATGATCAATTCAAAGATACCAAAGTGAAAATTAAAGTAGAGTCATTTTTTCTACGATGCTAACTACTTTGTTCCCTACTACTGTGTTTTTTTCAATGTGTTTACAAATTAACAATTGTTAGGTAAACCATATTCTTCAAAAGGGTCCCATTTTATAACTCTTTAACGAGTCACACTTTTTATTCATGCAATGTACATGTAGAAAATTACAAAACGACGAAACAGAGCTAAAAAGCAAACTTTGACTACATATATTAAAGTTTCCAAAATAATGAATAAAAAACAATCATAATCTGACTTGAGTTTAACAGAATTATACAAGTGCAATAATCATTTAAAAAATAAAATAAAAAACTAGTGCAATTTATCTCTACAATTTACATGTTAACGTGTGTTTACTTGTGGTGTGAATGCTACGAAGTTGCCACAAGTTTTAAACGACTACTTTTCTGCCTTTGTTGGCAAAATGATGCCTAAAGCAATCATATACTAGTTGCTTTATGACAAGCATATATGCAGGAAACTTCTATCCTTGTCTGATTTCACTAATATGAGAAGTCTCTTACAATAATAAATAATAATAATAATAATAATAATAATATTTGTGAAATTTAAGATCAAACTCTAGTGTCGACAAGAATAACTTCATGATTTGATAGAAAGTTTAGTATGAAGTCAAAGTCTGGTCACGTGCCGATCTTGTGTGATGTAGTCGAAGTATGCTCAATTAAGCATGCAGTAGTGGAAGTGCTAAGATTGTTAGCATGTAGAATTACGTCTTCCTTGTAAGTCCAATTATTAAGTTAGATTGTACCTTAAGTTAGCTTATTAATCTATAAATAGACTAATTATCTCAGGTTGTTGAGAGAAGTTAATTGTTGTTATTCATTTGTAATCTTTAAACCCTTATTGAGAAAGTGAATAGTAAAATAGTTTTAATCATTCTTTATTATTATTCTTCCTTCTTCTATCCCTTTTGTAAAACCTAATAGGGTTTCTTGTGTTTGTTCAAGAAATTCAATCTTTTTATCATATTTTGGTTTTCTCTTGACAACACCAATTCACAACAAACTAGTGCGGTGAGCGTGGAGAAGAAGACGTCGTCAACAAAGTGTGAGATTAAGAAGTTCTGATGCGTCCGCAAGTGCACGGAAATATCGAAGTAATATAAAAGATTGTCGAACCCACAGAGACCAATGGCAATCAACCGTTATCTATTATTACGGCGTAAAGCTAAGGCTAATGGAATTAGGAAAGCTGAATGTGAATGAAATTAAATGCACAAGAAATAAAGATTTTTGGTTTAAAGAAATGCGGTAAAGGAGTATCGGTATGTAACACTTAATTTAGCTATCGGGAATTCGGCAGGTTACCGGTGCCTTTTTGTCTATTGCAAACACTTTTCAGGAGAACTTACTCGTTTAAAGACCTTCGACTCACGATGGTTGTTGACTCGGGTCATAATTCTAAGCGCCGAATGTACGCTTTCGCTGTCCCATTCGAGGTTAAAACTACTTTTTGTAAACAAATAGATTCTAATTTCTTTTAAAGCGCTTTCGCTGTGTCTAAAATCAATGTCTAGTTTTTACTATCTGGTTCTAGCCTCAGTTGTCGCTTGTTGGTTCGTACCTTAATATGGTTTCCCACTGTCGTGGCAAAACCACCGTAAATAGCTTCTCACTGTCGTGACAAAGGTTTATTTAGAATTTTGATTAAAAACTACGGCCAGAAAGGTAGTTTGTAAAAAGGGAAGATTCCGGTTACTATCGAATCCTGTCCCACTAATTCGGTTACATACCGATAAAACTAATTTAGCTAGACATGATAATTAATGCAAATATAAATAAACAATGGCAGCAGAATAATATAACATGCATACTGACAGAAATAAAATAGTAATTCAATTAATAAAAACCTGTAAATCGTACTGATCTCGAATCCTTGAGTAGTCCTCCACAATGTCGGCAGGATTCTACTTTGGCGAGAATTAAAAGGTACAGGAACAAATAAAGCGATACAAATGAAATAAAAGGAAAAGAAATGGAAAATAATGCAGGAAAGTAAAATTGGCTTCAATGGGAATTTTGGCAGTACTTCGATACATCGAAGGTTCCCCATAAAACTGTGAATCTAAGGCCTATTTATAGGAGATAATTCACTCTTCAACTTCTAGAGATCATGGGTGAGTTATGGAGGGAGTGGGGGTAACTTCCAGTAGTGGGCAGTGAGTGGAGAAAGTGTAGGAAGAAATTAGGTTGAGATTGATCGTGGCTGCTTCTGATTTGAACGTACTGATATTTTGTCTGCGTGACGGTCGTCATGAAATGTGACGGTCGTCATACGCATGACGGTCGTAATGGACCTGTGACGACCGTCACATCAGAAAAATCCATTTTTTTCTGTTTTTCTTCTCTCTTTTCCTTCCATTTCTTCTTCTTTTCTTTCTTTAATCCAAATTCTCCCCAATCTGCAAAACAAATTAAATTAATCATATAATAGAACATAAATCAAGATAAATTAATAATAGTCACAAATAAATGCATGTAAATCAAGCCAAATAAACGATATGATTTCGCGTTATCAAGTTCACCAGTGTGAATGAATTTGGTTTGTGGTGCTTTAAGATGCAATCCATTTTTGTTCAACAGGATTTGTTAGAAGCGTTGAAAGAATCAGAGAAGATGAACAATACCCTATCGGAGAAGGAGAAGACAAACGACGGTCGAAAAAGCCCACAATGCCATTGTGTTGAGCCTTGGTGATAAGGCTCTCCGGCAGGTTTCAAAGGAGAAAACTGTAGTGGGTGTGTGGATGAAACTTAAGGTTTGTACATGAAAAAATCGTTGGTTAATCGTCTCTACCTAAAGAAAGTTTTGTATTCATTCAAGATGAGTGAAGACAAAGCCTTGACTGAGAAGCTGAATATGTTCAACAAGTTAATTCTTGATCTTGAAAATATTGAGGTCAAGATTGATGATGAAGATCAAGCGTTGTTGTTGTTGTTGTGCTATATACCTAAGTCTCATGTTCACGTCAAAGAAGCTCTCTTGTATGGAAGAGAGTCGTTGACCTTTGAAGATATTCAATATGTCTTGTACTCTATGGATTTGAACAAACGAATGGAGCACAAGCCATCTTCTGTTGGTGAAGGTTTATCCATTAAGGGGAAATTCTTGAAGAAAGATTGTAGGTTTGAGAAAAAGAAGGGTAAAGTTCAACAAAATTCTTATGGTTGTAATGCTCCTACTATTAAGTGTTATCATTGTAAGAAGGAGGGTCATACAAGAAAAGTATGCACTAATAGTCTGAAAAATCATGGTAGAAAAGATAATGATAATGCAACTATTGTACAAGATGGTTATGAATCATTTGATGTCCTGGTGGTTTCAAGCAGCAACTCTAGTAAGGAGTGGATTATGGATTCAGGGTGTACTTGGAAAATGACTCCAAGCAAAGACGTGTTTGAGGAATTGTGTGATCAAGATGGTGGATCAATACTGTTGGGAAATAATAAAGCTTGCAAAATTTCAGGTATTGGATCTGTGAAATTTAAGCTCCATGATGAGTCAATAAGGCTATTGACTAATGTTAGGTATGTACCTGATCTTAAGAGGAATTTGATTTCTCTTGGTGAATTCAACAAGAATGTATATGTTTTCAAAGGAGAGAAAAGCATCTTAAGGGTAATGAAGAGGTTGAAGAAAGTCTTGAGAGGCGTGAAGAAACAAGACTTGTATACCCTTGAGGCTGAGGTTGTAAGTAGTTTAGTAATGTGAAATTTACACAACATGTGTCAAAGATTGAGTTATGGCATAAGAGACTTGATCATATCTGTGAAAGAGGCCTTGTCAAACTTTCGAAAAAAAATCTGTTGGATGGTGATAAGGTCGAAAAAAATGGAGTTTTGTGAACCTCGTGTATTTAGTAAATCCTGTAGAATGAAGTTTACCAAAGGTAAACAAAGAACACATGCATCCCTTGATTACATTCATGCCGATCTTTGGGGACCTGGAAGGAATCCTTCACACTCAGGTGCAAATTATTTTCTATCCATAGTTGATGATTACTCTAGAAAGTTATGGGTATTCATCCAGAAGACTAAGGATGAAACTTTTGAAAATTCAAAAGTTGGAAGACTCTGGTCAAAAATCAAACTGGCAAGAAGGTCAAGGACCGACAATGGTCTTGAATTTTGTAATGAGTCGTTCAACATCTATTGTATTGCATATGGTATTGCAAGACACATAATTAATGTAGGGACTCCCCAACAAAATGGTTTGGTTGAAAGGTTTAATCGAACCATTCTAGAAAGGGTGAGGTGCATGTTGGTAAGTGCAAGATTGAAGAAGGTGTTTTGGGCAGAAGCTGTTGTGACTGCAGTTTACTTGATAAATAGGTGTCCCTCGACTACCTTGGGAATGAAGACACCTGAAGAAGTCTAGTCGAGACATCCACCTAGTGTTGATAGACTTAGAATATTTGGTTATTTAGCCTATGCTCACATTAGGAAAGACAAGGTCAAACCTAGAGCTCTGAAATGTATGTTCCTTGGATACCCTGAAGAAGTCAAAGCTTATAAGTTTTGGTGCCTAGAGCTAGGTCACAGGAGGTATACCACAAGTCGAGAATACAAACATATTATTTCGACTTCGACACAAAGAATTAAAATTTTAATACACCACCTAATTCATTGTGTCTTAGCTATCTACATTCATCATTGTTCTAAATC